CTGTGACTCTCCTACAGTAGCTTGTGACAGGTTTGCCAAGATAAAGGTGGCTGTATTTTCCTTTGAGTTTTGCTGATGTCAGGATTGAGTCTTTGATCTCTGGTTTTTGCAGATAACTAAAAAGCAGCACTGATTTCCAAATCTGTTTTAAAGTATTCTCTTTGTAATGCAGGATTTTTTAGTAGATTTAAAAAAATTCACTTCAGGTCACCTTTAAATGCCATCTTAAATATGTTAGAAAGCCAAAGCCTTTTACTCTAGACTTCTGTTAAAATTTTAATGTTCCTAATACAGAGATTCATGATTAGTCTTAAAAGCATGATTATGTGTTACTGAGTTAAGCAGATGTATTTCTTTTATGTTTAACTTACTTTTATTGAAGTGTAAGTAAAACATCTATGTTGTGCATTCAAGCTATATGTTGCATGACATTGACTATTTTAAAATAAAAAAAACCTGTTTGCTTTTCATCCTTCGAAGTCTTTGAATACCTGCATAACAGTGTTTTGCTCTCCTACCAGAGTTTTGAAGGTACCATTGTGTGGGAGAGCCAGGATCTTCAGGGCCTTGTTGCAAGAAACCTTCATAAAGTGACAGTGAATGATGGAGGGGGTGTTTTCAGAGTCATTACGGTGAGTCACCTCACCTTCCCTTCCAGCATGTTTCTGTTTTTCCTATAAGTCTTGGGTATTTAGCATTTTACTTTCCTGTGTTTCTCTGTAAACCATTAATTCAGTTGGGCTTCTCCTGTTGTCTCAGAGGGGAAGTTTGCTTTGCTTGGGAAAAGGACAAGGGCATGCAAAAAGTGATGCTAGTAAGTGACGTTTTCTTTTATTTTGAAGGGAGTAAACTTCACCTATTGTCTTTGTTGGGTGTGAAGCAGTATCAGTATATCTGAGATGGCAAAATGTGGGTCAGAAATCCTGTGCTAAAATCCCAGTTGATGGGATTAAACCTGTTTTTTGCTTTTTGGCAATGTGTCTCTTTTCCTGTCAAAATGTTGCTTGCTTAAACATGTTATGCTGTTGTAATTTACATTTTTCTCTCAACTTCAAAATTAGTTTTCTAAAAGTTTCAGTGGTACTGCTAGTTTTAGGTGAAACTTCAAGAAATGCCACAAAATTTTACAGTTAAAAAATCTTAGTCTTAGTCTTTCATTATGCAGGTACCTAAACCAGAAGAGCTTTAAACTAATTTCATTCTCATTTGCCAGAAAACTTCACACTTTGAAATCGTAGGGAAAACCACATCAGTAATGAGAGATGAGCTAATTTATTTCTTTCTGTTAATCTGTCTCTAGCAGGCAGGGGAAGGGTCACTGCCACATGAACTCACAGAAGGTGTGGAGGGAATAGCAGGTGGTTTTATCTACACTATTCAAGGTAAGTCTGCAAAATACAGCATCACATTTGATGTTATGATAAAACAGGAAGTTTAAATTACATTTCTGAGGTAAAATTCGTGCTGTCTCTATGGACTTGATCACCTTAAGTTTTCTTTTAGTAGAAACAATTAATTTCCTTCTGGTTTTTATGCCTACCGTCAGTGTCCTGATTTGTGGTTTCTTTGATTGCCCTTTGTCAGCTGTTCAATTGACTTGCATCCTTTTGACTTTTTATTAACAGATACACCACTTTTATCTAGACTCTCTTCTCTGTCCTTGTTTTTTTGTTACCAAACCCCAAGTTAAAAAATGTTGTGCAAAGAAATCTTTTCCTGATAATTTTCACATTTTTTTTTCCAGTCCTGCTGCTGTTAGAAGTACTGTGCCACAATGTTTAACATTAACTACTGACAGACAGTGGCTATCTAACATAGCCTGCTTTTCCACCCCTGTTGTTGCTGTTTTACACCTATTCAGAAGAATGTTCAGAGACTCTGTAGGAGCCCTTTCCAACGTCAGAGATTTTGGCCACATAGCACTAGACTTGATGTACTCTTATCAGTCCATCATAGCCAACATAAGCAGTGACTTTCAGAGCATTAAACCTGTGTTTTTGTAGCGAGGCCTGGCAGATATAATTAGGCAGTCCTGTTGTCTTGTCATCTGTGTAGGAGCCTAAACTGAGGTGTGCTAAAGCTCTTCCATCCTGTTTGTCAAAAAGTTTTTCAGTACCACAAACTATCTCCATACCAAGAAGCTCACTATTCTTGCAATATATTCTCAGTTTTACTTGCAGTCAGTTATGCGA